TGGACGGTATGATGGGCATGAATGGCATGGCGGGTAACATGGGCATGGGAGGCAACATGATGCCGCCGGGCATGAGTGCTAACATGAACATGGGCCTCGGCATGAACATGGGGCAGTGGGGCGGGGAGGGTTTCGACGGGTCGTATCAAGGAAGATATTAAGGCGACGTGATTGATGACCTACCACATGCGTTCTAATGTAACTTATTACTTTGAGCAGTCGGAAGGAATAACATGAGGTGTACATGCGATGTAGATTGATAGATAGTAATAAAATGAGGGGGGAAAACAGGTAACGGGGCGCAGGAGTATATTTACGAGGGGCGGTTCCTGGCTGCATGATACGCATCTAGTTCGGCGAAGAATTGTTGCTGGTCATCAAGCGACCATCGCATGCTGAAATGTTGAGATCAGCCATTGTTCAGTCATGACTGTACCATAGAACCTACAATCGCTCTAGAAATGCCGACAGATGCTCAGCAGTAGCAATATAGCCGAGTTCAATCAAGGACGTTAAGCGGGCCTTCAATCTGAATGATCTCAATGAGTACGTGCCAGGCGCAAAAGACAGCCTTAATCACCTCTCTTCAGGTGTCGGCTTTGGTTTGTGATGGCGCCGTTGAGGGGGCCACTGCTCTTCTACTTCCGCTTTGGACGCAGTGGACCCCCTAGCTTGCTTAGTATTCTTCCGGCTCTTTTTTCTGACCTGCAGTTACAATATAAGGTATACGACGGCCGGCCGGCGAAAATTGATACCCTGGCGTACCTCCATCGTGGATTGGAACCTGTGCCCCTCGACGGCGCTTTCCGCAATCAAGTCTGCGTTCCGGTGGATGTACGTTACCCCAACATCGCTAAGTATTTTCTGGATGCCGTCGTCCTTTTTCTCGACTTCCGGTATTCCTGGCATCACGCAATATTTATTATGAGCGCCGCTGTCTTCGTTGCTACACCCGGGGCACGATTACTTACCGTCATCAAAAAGGAGAGTATCAAGGCCACGAAGGTTATCCTATTTATGGGGTGAGCGGCTATGCAAAACTTACAGCACATTGAATACATACGTCATCTTTGGCGTTTGCCTCTGCGGCATGCTTCGTTTTCAGTCCTGATTTGTTCGCATCGACATTGGCAAGCGCCCAATTGAAGTCGGATAAAACCGCTTTCTCAACCTGCCGCGTCGAATGTATGAGTGCCCACGACGTCGAGCACGATCCGCTGAACTTACCGCTTTTTTGGTCGCAAGGGCAGACTCGTGTAGAGTAAAGATATTCTTTAAACCGAATAGTTCTCCCTGCTTGGACTTCTCCCCTTGAACACCCTCGAAATATCTAAACACAAAAGACCCTGAGCGATTCCTTCTCCGGAAAATGAGGAGCTACGATACCTTGTTTGAAAGCTCGCATTATACCCGACCTGCATCTGTTGTTGTTTGTAGACTTGTCGGGCATAAATCAGCTCTTCGATTGATCCTGCTCCGAGCAGTCGGAACACGGATACAGATCGCGTTTGTCCGAATCGGTATGCGCGATCTATAGCTTGCAAATCATGCGCTGGGTCTGATGGTCGAGTCAGCATTACTGAGAATCGAGAGTACCACAAATTACAGAAGAGTAAACTGACTCCAATTCGGGTCTGTACAACATGTATGAGTTTCAAAAGCAATGTCCATAGCCAAAGGACTCGCCAAAAATAACGACTTTGTTTGCCCCAGTTAAATTGAGTCCTGTTCCACCAGCCAATGTGGAAATCAAGAATACGGATACATGTGGATCTTCGTGGAATCTGTCGATCAGTGACATACCTATAGACCGAAAGAAGTGAGGATTTGAAAGAAAAAATAACACCAGAGAAGACGCACGGTCACTGGCTTTGGTCGATCCGTCTAACTTTACATAGCCGGTGTCTAGCAGATTAGATGCATCAACGTCATCCGCCGCATTTGCGGTAAATTGCGGTAAAATCTCACTTCGCGATCTTAGATGAAATTCGAGCATTTCAAGCAATTTGATCGACTTGGTAAAGATCAAGACCTTATTCAAGGCGTCCTTCTTCCAATCCTCCAGCAGAGATTCTAGAACCTGGGTAGAATGGTCTATTTTTCGCACAGCAACTGCAAGCCACTGACGCACTCACCGTCCATTTACCACAGAATCTCGATGTAAGGATAGATGGACCATATTTTGGAATAGTCTCGTTCCCGAACGCTATCCGGGACAGCTCTCGATTCCTAGCAGTCTGACACAACGTCGCCGTCAAATGACGTGCTTATCAGGGATACAAAAGCGCAGTCATACCTGCTCCGGCGTATCGGAGGGCGCTGGATGGCAGTAAAATCAGGCTTATCCAAACCAATCGTAATGAACGCTTACAAGGCAAAATCAAGGCCAGATGATTGGATATTTTGATAAGCGTGACAAGGTATCTGAACAAATCACCCCGATCGAATGGGTGGCAGCACTTCCTTCTCCTAGAAAGGCAGTTCAACTCTCAATAAGCGCAGATAACTTGTCATCGGTGAACAGACTTTTCTTTAGACCCGCAATCACAGGGCTCATCTTTCCGCATCATGTTCTGGACCGGCTCCATATTCAGAATTCGCTTGTAAACCTCAATTTGCGTCGCAGTCAAAGGACAGAAGACGACTTGATCATCCTTCCCAGGCAGCTAGGAAATACCAGATGAGTACACAGTACATACCACCCCACACGCTTCAGTCTATACCTGGTTTTTTATGATATCCTTGGTACTATTACCCGGTGAGTCTTTAGATTGCGCACTGAGCATTTGACATGTGCCTACCGTCTGAGGAAGAATTTTGGTAACAGCTTGTCTGTCAATATTTGAGCGACGAGCTGTGCCATTCCGTGTGTGAAAAAATCTAGAGATATAACCAACACATAACTTACAATTCCCTTGGTACGCTGCTCTTCTGTAGCGGACTTGCTCTGTCCGACAGTCAATGGTCTGGAAACAAATCCTTCCCATTGATTTTTCGTCCCAACACTCCCCGGATTTGCCCAATCAAGGATGGTCCAAAATTCCTGGAAAGAATTTTGGATTGCTGCCCGTAAGACTTAATCTTTAATGTTGCAATGAGAGTGCGACATCCACTGACCGGTCCCTGTAAGACCAAACCTTATAGTGCATATAAATCGGCTGAACGCTGCAGCGAGGGCCGAGCGTGGATTCTTGACACGATGTACTTCATCTATGACTATACATGACCAGGCCAGATCGTCAAGAAGTGCAATATCATTGCGGGCAGTCTCAAATGATGTCACCACTGAAACATGGGTTAGATTATGCTGCACATAGTTTGGGAAACCTCGTACCGACATCTAGCCTTCCCATCTTAAAATCCCTTAACACGTCTGCACGCTCCTTTGGAAGACCAGTATATATCCCGACTTCGAAATATCCCCACTGATTCCGTTGGTCGATCAGGGAAACGTATGACACTTGAGTCCGAGAATCTCACAGTTTCAAATTCTCTCTCCCAATTACCAACAACAGAACTCGGGGAAATAATCAAGCATGTCGGCCATGTGTCGTTCGCAGGAGGTAGAGTCCGTGATCGTTTCCAGCTTGGATCTTCGTCTTGGAGGCGTGAGACGTGCTTTCGTCGGCGGTCAATGTCACGTTTATCTCCGTTCTTCTGCATTATGGCGGAGAGAAATGAGATAATTTGTATTGTTTTTCCTACACAAGTGTCATTATAGGTAGTGAAGAGCTGAAAGTAGCACGCACCCTAAGAAAACCAGCATATGTAAAATGAGTGACAAGCATTCTCAGTCAGTCAACATGAAAATTACATTAAATCACGAGCAAAAACATACCAATCCCATGTCATCCCCCAGTATTCCACCGCGCCGCGTTTTGTATCGCTCGAAGAAGAATCGAATTCCTTCACGTTGATAATCCCTCAGGAACGTATTTATCTGAGCCGGGACGCTGTGAGAGTTGTCAAGGGTTAGTGGCCCAGTAGTCTGCTGATCGAGCTTAAGCTTAAATGCCGGTTTTGGCTCGAGGGACTGCAGAGCGACGAGATCAGTCATATATGCATCAAAATTCAAGAACAAAGTACGCACTCGGTGAAGTACTACTTCTGCTTCACTATCTGATTCGGTATCGGAAGCAGTATCCGTAGATTTCGTGGTTTTTGGTCCTGATTTTGTAGCCTGTCCTGCATTTCTGGTTCGATTCTTATTACTACAGCTAAGGAAGGCTCGCTCACCGTAATCCTTGACATGGACTGCTGATCTATTTCGACCTTCTATGGCAGGAGCTAGCTCTAACTCTGATTCAGATTCAGTGACAGAGTTGTCTGAATTCTCGAATCTCAGTCTCTTCGACTGAGGCTGGACGATAGTGAATGGTGACTCTGGGGATTTGCGCTTGAGAGCGGTAGAAGTTGTAGTGCATTCAAGCTCGGACTCGGGTTCCGTTTCCGACCCTGAATCAGAGATAGATCAGTGAATACAGCTGGCTAATGGATCTTAGTGACATGCCCGTAACTGAATCGACACGTGCATTCTTATGATCTCGGAGTCTGGTCGCTTCAGATGGTCGCATAAGAGCAGTATATGTTCTAAGCATTGTGCCAGGCTGAATATCTTGTACATTCTCCTCTGCGGATCCAGCCTCATCTTCAGATGACGGCTCTTCGTTGTCTGTTTGATTTTCATCTTCCGACGCTGAATGCAGATCCAGAGTTGCTGCCAGATAATAGTATAGTATAGTCAAATAAATATTATAATGTATCCTCACCAAAGTATTCTAGTAATGGATTAGTAGTTGTTACTAATTTGGAACCTGAGCCTGCGAGCAGCAACGTAAATTATGCAGCAGTGCAAGAGTCCAAATACACACTCTTCGCTATTGCTGTTTGGTGTTCTCTTCGCAACTTGTGTTTCCTGTGTGAGATAATTGACGTGCCTGCGGAAACTTTGACGCGTTTGTCTTTTTTGCCCTTCTTAGGAGGCTCGTACGTGAAAGAGCCCGGATTAAAATCAGAGTCAGAGTCCTCGGCTGTTCAACTTTCATTATTGTGTGTACACAGATGAAATTTCTTGCAAACAGACCTAACGGTATTGGCTCCGAATGTTCAAACTCTGCAAAATTCTGTTCAGAAGAGATTAGGAGGCCATGAAGAAATTCATATACTTCTCGAGCGATCCGATGCCGCTTTACGCGAAGCTTTCAGTTTAGAGTCAAGAGGCATTTCTGGCTCCAAAATTTTACGACATAAAGCAGATAGAAATGGGTCTTTTGAATGGACGGTAGCCGTACAAGCCACACACGTCGCTTGTCTCGCGCGCCGCAACGCGACACCCGGGAACACGATCACGTGTGAGCGCGACTAGGGTCACGAGATAAACAACAAACTCCGTCATTGGCTAATAGCAAGCGCCGGCAACACAACCACTACGGAACTGCTAACTTGAGTTCCAATCGAGTTCAAAACATCATTGATTGAAGTCCGACTGGATCTATATTCTGGCTTCAAGAGGTCTGAGTCTGCGTTGCAACGAGTTTGGTTTCCGGAATTACGTGCAATACATCTAAATTCTACGATAAATGTGGATCATGCTACATTCCTGACTAGCCAATTTCCTTCAAACATTGCGGTACTCGAAAGCAGGATTACCGGGCTCTGCACTCTCAATGATGCTGAGGCTGAAGTTCCCTGTGGTTTCATTTTTTGCAACATCCACCATCATAACCTCGGCGTCAACCAAATTCAACGTCTTCTTGAGATAGGGCAGAATTTCTCGAAGCACCTGTGTCTCAGAGAACGGCAACGTCCGGTTGAACGCGGTCTGGGCGCCAAATTGTGTCATTCGTTTCTTTGATTACAGAAATCAGCAGTGGTACGGAAGCGCGAAGAGTTGCGAGTATGACTTACCTTGAACGCTTGCACAAAAGGCATGGCACGTTTATCCTTGATCAACCCACGTTGGGTCAAAAGCTCACGAACTTTCGCGTCGTCAACTTTGTCGGCTTCGGGTACATATGCATCCTTTACCGCCTGTACACATTGGTCTTGCCAAGCGGGGAAAGCCGTCGCTACATATATCCGCACAGCACGGGGCTTCGTGGGATCATACAATACCTGCCCTTGCTTCCCTTTGTTCATCTTCTTGAGCAGAGAAAGCTCTGCGTCTCGCATCGTCTTGATAGTACCACGCATGTACACCCCCGCGTCGAGGACAGCCTGGTCGACAGGCCGCGACTCTGGCCAGCGAGCAAGATGCACAGACTTTGGTTCCTGCAGGACAGTGGTCCAGACGTGCTCAGAGAAGTGAGGAGCAATTGGGCTGATGAGTAGCACCGCAACGCGAATCCACCACTGAACCAAGTCTGCGTGCATTCCAACATCTGCGGTGACCTCTCGATACCAATCGCGAGCGGTCTGAAGCTCGTAAAAGCCATATTTTAAAGCGTCTTTATATTGCATACTGTTGGGCAGAATGTCAGCGAAACATAATTGAAATCGTCTTAATTCACTCACTCTTGGTAATGTCTCTGTGTGATATTGATCAAGTTGAAAACTTCTTCCTCAAAGGTACGATCATGGAAGTTCTTGTCACCGCGGCGGAGATTCGATGCGCCTTGCATCATTTCCTAGACAAGGATTAGAGTATCAACAGTTGACATATATGAGTATGAGAGCACACAATCTACTGTACCTCACACCAAGCTATCAAAGTATGCACTCGCAAGATGTTCGCGTTGGCAGTCATCTCATCAAAGTTGGCATCCTCAATACCGTCACCTGCGTCTGCCAGACACAGGCGGGCGGCATCAGCGCCGAACTTCTCGATGCACTGGCGCATTGTCATGGAATTGCCCTTGCTCTTGGACATTTTCTGCCCGTTCACCATCAAATGGCCATTAGTTCGCATACCGAGTGGCCATTTGTCCTCGGGGAAGAGCGCCGTATGGTTGTACAGGCAGAATGTCAGATGATTAGGAATCAAATCCTTGCCGGAGGAGCGAACATCGAAGGGGTAGAAGTATTCATACTCTCTTTTCATAGTGTCGATTTTTTCCTTTGGCACCGTTGCGGACTCAGGCCAAGGACCATTTCGATACAGGTATTCCCAGACATCGTCGGTCATCTGCTCCGGAGTGATATTGAGCAGTCCGGGTTTAGTACCATCGATGTTTCCTGAGTGAAAGTTGTGAGCGACGCGTAAAGAGCACTAAAAGAGGACTGAAACCACGCTTACCTTGAAGTAAGTGCGCAATTGTATAATATGACATGTAAATTGTCGAATCGCTCAAACTTTCTACCAAGAACGTTGGATCCCAAGGAAGTTTGGATCCGAGTCCGTAATTTCGTGCACACGCCCACTGATTCAACCATGCAAGGACGCCCTCGAATCCATTGCGGGTCTCGGCGTGGAAAGTCTCCAACCGAGCCAATGCCCTTTGATAGTGTGAGCTATGCAAGCAACGAAAGTACAAGGCAATATAGCACGTACTTTTCCGCTTCTGCCCTCCATGCTGACTCACCATAATCCAGGTACCATTGGTCCATTAGTGCGACCACACACTCATCGGAGCTTCGGGAGATGACGAGGCCTTCGGGCTCCGCATACGCGAATGCGAGACCCATCTCAATCAAGCTCTCGCGGACCTTCGGTTTGGCATCTTGTACAGATTGGCCTGCAAACTCGCCGACAAGCATCGTACCGGAATAGAAACCTTCCTTATACGCAATCTCCTTCGCTTCCGCGAGCTGTTTGATATCCTTCTGCGACTGGATCTTCAGCTTTTTTACAATGGCAGGTGCAATCATGTCACCATACGTGGGGGAGGTGATCACGGGCACTGGGTCGAACGATGCCCATGAGGGGTCGATCTTGTAAAATTCAGCCTTCTTGCGCAGATCCATGAGGGTCTGGTAATCATCCGGAGAATCGGATGGGACCGACGTAACCACTCCAGTTCCCTGTAGGCAGCGTCAGCAGTGCTAAGAAAAGCCACATGAGAGAGCCCAACCTTTGTTGCAAGCACGTTGTCCATTGGCAAAACATAGACCTCCGGATTGATTGAGAAGGGTGCGCTGATCTTTGTGCCAACAAGAACAGAGCCGTCTATCTCCAGGAGCTGCTGTACTTGTCCACGCACATCGGTAGTCCCTTGGAATGCCATATTCCGCGCGGCTCGATATGTGCACACGAATGCTTCATCATTATTGATTGCAAACACGCCATATTTTATTGCAGTGCCGACGAAGCAGTTTGTCTGGCCATACCTAAACATTATTAAGTATACCAATCTCAGCTCGACAAAAGAGAACACACATTGTTTCCGGCCTTAGGGTGGCCGCGACCAGGAACACTTTTCTCCCACCGACTTTACCCTCGATTGCCTTCGCAGCGGCGTCACTCCAGGTGACGACATGCATCTTAATACCCGTATACTCTTGTGGTCCGAGTGCCTCTCCCTCCGACCGATCATGGTCCATACATGGCTGTCCGTCCTTCGGGCTGTAAATAGTGTACCGCTCTCCGAATTTGATCTTGCCTAGACTGTACAATCTATTGATCTGCCATCGCACAAACGAATCGTAGTAAGGGTTGGCATCTGTTGTAATGAACGAGCGGCGCCAGTCAATACGCGACCCGAATGCATTGTTGTCTGCCTGTGACTTGTGAGGCAGAGAACATAAATAGCCGACGATGTACTTACCACACAAATTGGGGGGAAATACTTCAACCAGTAGTAAGGATCTGCGAATTTACTGATATCCGCACGAGGTATGCCCATGGACTCCATGATCTGGAATTGATATTGCAGGCCAGTCGCTTTAGCTGCAACCTTTCCTTTCTTAGCTTTGTCTACTGCCTTGGCAGGCGCTGCAGATGTGTTGGCAACAGGTACATCTTCTGCCACAAAACCGCTAAAATCAGATCCGAACATCTCGATTTCCCGCTGAATTTTGTCTGATGCTGCCTGCACATAGCATAAGCCTAAGTGGAAAGTCGTGTAAGTCTTGGACGCGCACCTTGATTGGCATTCCTGTGCAATGGAATCCGAGAGGAAACAAGACACGCTTTCCCGACAGGCGGTGGAAGCCAGCTGCGAACTCGATTTTTGAGATGGAGAAGGCATGTCCTAGATGCAGAGAGCCATTCATGTATGGATACGGGAAGTTACCAAACCACTTCGGAAACTTTTCTCTGATTTCCGCAGGCGACAACCCTTCCGTCTCCTCCGGCGTCGGTGCGCTGACCTCAAAGAGATGCTCCGCCACCCATCGTTCCTGGTATCTCTTTTCCAGAGAAATCAGTAAATCGCGTTTGCCTGTCTGTGCGAGTTCGATGGTGGCTGCAGAGGCCATGGTGCGACTCGGACAGCGAGTGGGACGTGAAGCACGTCGCCAGAGGGCAAGAATGGTGAACACTTTCTTCGAAACGCCGTGTAATCACTTTTGGTCTTTCAGTGCGATCGATACCAGCTCGAGTCATGGGTACACAAAAATGGGCAAATTTTGAAGAACGGTAGTACAGCAAAGTGACAAGGGTCCTCCAGCGCTCATATCCAAGCCCCTCGCCACCCCTCGCTATATCTCTATATTCACCAATTCTGCGACTCTACTGTCTAGTCTTTATATCTGACTAGGCTTGGAAACTGTACGACAATTTGTTTGACAATCATATTGCCTTGGCACTGCTCGATCCTCTGCCCTCCCGTACACTATACAGACGGGTTGCTCAGGCCGCGCGGCTTTCACAACTGGTCTGTGCGCACTCGCGCTCTAATCTTCACGTGAAGCTTACGTAATCCGTTGAATGAGTTGCCCGCGCAGAGCCTGCGCCCCACCAAGGCAGCCCTCCCACCAGCCAGCCCAGCCAGTGTAACAGCGTACCCGGCTTGTACTGTGCCTGCGCCTATCGCCTGCCACCCTCTCCAAAACTCATAACTAGCTTTATCCTTTCTCTCCCTTTTCTCATTGTCAAGGTGGGTTCATATGCATACTAGGGCGTTATCTGATGACTATCCGATCGTCGTCGTCGTTGACGGCGACGACGGCAGCGTTGGGGGTTTATTTGCCTCTGAACTGCAGGCGCGTCGCGACGCGTCCACGCGCGCGTGTCCCTGCGTGTAGTTCGCCCCCTCTCACCTTCGTCACTTGTATGGGACGTGTAGAATTTGCTGCTGACGTGTCTAATGCTGTGTAGATGCCGAAAGAGACGACCAAATCAACCAAGGTTCGTGTTTAACTCGCCCCATCCCTTGTATATCCTCTGATGACTTCCACTTGCACCTTTGAACTTCTCTCGACGTATACATTGATGCCAATAGCGCAAGGCCGCCGACAAGGCCGAGAAGGCCCCAAAGGCGAAAGCCAAGAAGGACCCTAAGGCGCCGAAGCGTGCATTGTCTGCGTATATGTTCTTTAGTCAAGACTGGAGGGAGAGAATCAAAGCTGAGAATCCCGACGCCGGTTTCGGTGAGTTTTCCCGGGTCTATGTGTGCGCAGGAAGTCTACCTCGCTGCGTTCATTGATCTATTGGCGTTAGGGGCGGATCGAGGCTGACTATATGCGTTCTATAGGTGAAATTGGAAAGCTTCTGGGCGCGAAGTGGAAGGAGCTCGACGAGTCGGAGAAGAAGGTAAGCGGTAGTGTATCATGGACAAAAGATGCAGTGCTGATAGCCGTACCCCTATGCCTATATGCAGCCTTATATTGAGCAAGCGGCGAGAGACAAAGCACGTGCAGAGAAGGAAAAGACCGACTACGACGTTTGTATCATAGCATTCTTTGTGCGCCACGATGTAGCTGACGTCTCTGACAGGGCCAGAAGGCGGACAGCGCTGGTAGCGGCGACGGGGACGATGATGACGAGTGACAAAACATCGTGATACCTACCACGTCTCCCTTTGTCGTCAGCCGTTCGTATCGGATTACCTCGTCAAACCACAGCCCGCTAGATAATAGTCTCCCCCGCCTGGTCCCGGTCTCGTCATCGATAATTAGCTCAAAACACATTCGTTTCCAATTCGATGCTCGCGCTTGTGTGTACTGTACGTATCTCGTCTGGCCGTTGCCCTAGTCTGCCGTGTAGGCCCGTCGCTCGCCGTTGTTCGTCTCTGCAGTTTTCGATGTTCACGTATGCTGTATCTTGACCAACGTGTATTATAAGAGACGATGGGACTTCCTGAACGTTATGAATATTTATTGCTATTAGTGATGTAACATGTGTGCTGCGGGATGAGCTGAAGAGGGGAGCCAGCCCTGAGTGCAGACGGGAGGCGGTGACAAGCGCGGTCGACGTGAAGGTGGCGCGGCGCGCAGCCGTGCAGATATTTTGCCGATGGAGTGATCCCGGCACGTGGGGCATACTGTCGGCGATGGACTGGCGCCAAAACATTCGACCTTGTACCTTCCCTCGCCCTAGATCCTCCCGTCTATACCCTTTCGTCCTCGCTATTCCTCACGACCGTCGCTCACCCCGCAGCAACGATGACAGACTCTCCGAACAGCGAAACCGTGGGCGAGGCAAGTCTCGGTTGTGTTTCTGCGACAGCGCTTGCTGATCCTCTGATCTTCCTCTGTACGTGTAACAATGCTCGTCCCCATTGCCCCCGCACCCCGAACAGGCCGTTCCTCAGGCCCAGAAGAGTAGCTGGGCGTCGTTTCTAAAGTCGTGCGTATCCATATCCAGTACTTCATTACAATGTCAGCCGCTTACAATGTTCTTATTGTGCCCACCACCAGAATCGCCGCCTTTTCTGGTGATCTGTCCTCGCTGACTGCACCACCATTCATCCTGTCACCGATTTCTCTCACTGAGTTCCCCGGTCTGTATAAATGGCTTACGCTGAGTTGATGTGTGCTTATTGTTGCTGCTCTACAAACAGCGTACTGGTGTGAGCGACCAGAGCTATTCTCTGCCATAACGGAGGCAAAAAGTGATGAGGACAGGTCGATTCGGGTGCTACGTTGGTTTATCGTGCGTCCTTTATTGTACTTTGTCTTAGTTCCGAGTCTGTCAGGTCGTTATGCACTGTCCTGACTATTGTGTACAGAGCACCTTGAAGGGACAGTATACATCGCGTAACGAGAAGCTTGGCTCAGAGAAGAAGTAATGATATTCATCCATCCTTCGTAAAATGATACTGACAACATTCAGGCCGTTGAATCCCGTTCTTGGAGAGTGAGTTTTCGCAAGGTCATTCCAAGAACACCTACTGAGGATTAAACAGACTCTTCTACGGATACTGGCCCGATCTTCAAGGAAGAGGCCAAACAGATCTTGTAGTTGAACAAGTATCTCATCATCCGCCCATCACCGCATATTACATATCGAACAAGGCCAAGGGGATCGCGTTACAAGGACACAATGCACAGAAGACTAGCTTCAGCGGTAGGTGTCTGACATCTCCCGCCCTCTTGTCGACGAATATACTAATCATGTCATACCCAGGTGGGAGCATCATCGTAAAGCAGATTGGACATGCGGTCTTGACTGTGGACTTGCCCGAGGGCGGGAAAGAAGAGTTCTTGATCACACTCCCACGGCTACGCATCGATGGGCTATGGTACGGCTCGCCGTACGTCGAGTTGAGTGAAACCAGTTATATCCAGAGTTCAACCGGATGGCTGTCTACTGTCGGTGTTCATTTATTCACGTTTATGGAGTCGGGTCTGACTCATGAACAGATTGAATACAAAGGCAAGGGCTACTTTTCAGGCAAGTCGCACACGTTCAAGGCATCCGTATCCCCTCCCAGGACAACAAATCCTGTGCATACATTCGAGGGTTTATGGCACCTTACATCGAAAGACATCCGAACGGGACAAATTTTCACGGACGTTACGAGCCCGAAAGAAGAGGTAACTGTGAAGAACGTCGATGACATGGATGACTGGGAAAGCAGGAAGCTCTGGAAGTGGGTCGCGAGAGGTATCCGCGAAGGCGACTTCGAAACGGCCGCCAGGGAGAAGAGCAAGATTGAGGTGGGCTCGCTCATTCTGTGGCATACCATCTCTGGATGTCGACTTATTGGCCAATACTAAATATCCTAGAACGAACAACGACAAAGGCGGAGAGACGAGCAAGCTGCCGGAACGCGCTGGGAGTTGAAACATTTTGACCACATAGACTCTGATCCAAGTTGTGCGTGCTTCCCTGTTATTTCTGTTCACTCGGCGGTTAGTCATTTCGTGGCGTGCAGATGAGCGTCTGGGCAGATTGTTCAAGGCCAACCCGCCCACAGAGGACGCGTACATATACCGGCACAACCACAACCCTGGGCCATCGCAGGCATAGGGCGAATCTACACAGGACTTTCTCCCTGCCTCGTACTCGGGGCAGAATATCTCCAGTGACTTGTATATTAGATGCGATGCTATAATTATGGTGCCAAATGCGCGCTCTGAGTCTATGGTGCTGATTTGAGAAGACTGGTCGTTAACTCGAAAAGTCTGGGAATTGGTGCGGTTCATAATGATGCTCAGAGATTTCTGCCGTACTTTCTTGTTGACTCTGTTGTGTACGTTGGACCCGAGGTGGTGTGCCTTAACTATATCGTAGTGACGTACGTGTTCATATGGAGTTGCTTCTGGATCAGCGAACCTCGACCGGCTCTATAATGAAAGCGCGGCCGAGCCAATCTCCATCGCCGCGTCTTGTATGAGTGACTGTTGCATTATTGCACAGTTGCTTATTCTGGTAAGGGGCCGGGGTACTTACTGACTCATGCTATAATGCGAAGTGATTATAATGCACTCAGTACATATACATTGATCCCCTTCGGTATGTCAAAGCATAGCATTCCGGTTCGACGACTGAGCCGTTTGACCCGCGCAAATTATCACAATTATTTCAACTTGGCTCATTCAAGCGGTTCTACGGCCCGCCTGTCAAGAATGTCATAGTGTCCAGGTCTACAAATTATGGCGAATTCTGGTATCAATCCTCCATTGCAAAAATAAAATGTGGCGAACGCACCTGTACAGTAAGATGACAGGCTCCGTGCCTGGCTCGTCCACGTTTTGAAAGTCAACGAAATCGACCTTACCCTCTTCAGAGCGTCCATCTAGGTAGGCCACATTGATATTGACCTTGAGAGCGCGAGATAGCGCTGTGATTTGCACATGATCTAGGGTCATGATCTCAGTGCGGGTACCCGTAGAGCGATGGTAAGAGCGCACCAGCCTCCTTGCCGACAGCTTCTACGAAGTTCTCGCAGAAATCGCGCAGGTCCATTGGCTCACCGATCTCAGGATGGAATAGGAACGACGCATACTGCTCCGAGTCCGCACGGATTTGAGCGGACGTGAGAAGTCGAAAGTAGACGACGATCGAGTTAGACACTACTTTAAATTAAATGAAGGTCCACGGCCAGCTGTGAAGGAGCATTACCTTCGGGAGAGTTGAAGGCCTCCAAAAGTGTAACAGGTGAAAGTAGTTGGCCGTCTCCCTCTGGAGTTAGGACCTTGTTGATTACGGAAACGAGGCAGTCGTAGAAATCCTCAAATACGAGCCGCTGGAAACCAGCTGCCTCCAGCAGAGGTTGCGATGCCTCGAGGGCAGAGATTGCGCTCGTCACAGCTAACGGCTTGTCAGGAGCGAATAGTATTCTTTCGATATACGCAAATGCCAGAGCTGTAAATGGTCAGCTCTGAGTGAGGTAAGCGTTAGCAAGGGACGAAACGCATACATCGGTAGAAGCAATCGCCTATCGTACGGGGCGCGCTGAGTATAGCAAAAATATGCAGATGGAGCGATACTGACCGTCTCCTCTAGCGCGTCTGATGCCTACATAACCGTTCTTGATGAGCCAGTCAATCTGCTTCACGAAGAGTTGGGACCCGCCCTCGTATTCGGAACGCAGGGATTGCATGGATATGAGTGGCGCAATCAAAGGCCGATTTGGCATGCTTTCATCCAGTAGACTCTATATCGTGTGAGAATGACACTCAAGAAGAAATGTACGAAGTGAAAATACGAACCTCGTTCATTTCGTAGGTCCGGATCGGAGTTAACGACGCGAATTCTATACAAGAAACAACGGGAGGACGAAAGTCAGTCTCTCTGCATATATTCCGTGAATGAAAATTTTATGAGAGGTAGACATATCTCTGACCATTATCAGCGTTGGGGTATGATAGAGGTTGCACTTCTTCCACCTCAGGAAGATTGGTGGTCTTTAACTTCGCTGAACGCCACACTGGCAGTAAGTTCCCGAGAACGCGCATCAAAGTAAGTTTCAGACATACGTGCTTCAAGGGTGGTTATAACATCATTGTGGAGTGACGTATTTGTCTGTTCTGTTGAGCTGTTATGTAATTCTGACATTTTGTGAATGAGCGCAAGAGCAAGTAAGAAGTGCAGGTTCAAGTTCAGTTGCCTAATCGGCGGGACTAACCTAGATTGAGCGGCGCCAAGATTAGATTGAAGGCTATGAACGGCATCTGATAAGATAAGCTATTGTTATTGATCATAAGATCCGCTCAGTCGTTGAAGTTGTGCATACATATGCAATAGGCTTTCATAAACCGCAGTAAGTCTCAGTAATTTGTATGGATAAAATCAGATCTGATATAATAAATGGAAAGCGTGAAAATCCAAATGTGTGTCGCTCGTGATATCATGACTCAAAAGGCGTCCGTAAATTTGTAACTATGGTTCCAACGTCATCAACCCTTTCAACACCCAGAAGACTACTTGTGCCAAAAATTGTCAAGTAGATTAGATTGCGACAGCCGAAGAAACATTTTTTTCGAACTGCCACCTGACAGCTTACCTTGAGTATACAGTGACTCAGCTTGATACGAACTCCCTTGATAAACTTGAATAAAGCATCCGTCCATAGTGTGTTAAGGACCTTCCATCGTGATATATGTTTGTCAGCAAGTTCTTTTAAAGCTTCTTTGGCGAGTTCAGGATGCTAGAGACGTCTGCAGGACAGTCGCTCAATAAAGTCCACTGTTCTGAGAAGACAAAGACGCTCCCGTCATTCACGATCTAGCTTGATGCACAGCTTGGCGAGATGTGGAGCACTGGTGGGCATGAACCCCAGACAGATCGCGTCTTGTTCCTCGTTCACTAAAGAACAGTGGCCACGTCAAGACAGAGGCAGCAGCGCATTATTAATGTCTTACCTTTCAGCTGACCTGCATATGAGACAGTCAAATCTTCTTAGAATCTAAACAGACTTATGTGACGAGAGTGTATTACGAGAGCGACATCGCAATAGCGTAGATCCAAAGGGACCATGGTTTCTACTGATGGCATGGTGCACGGCCATTCGAGGAGAGGCCCATTTCCAGAGTCGAATGCAGACTAGCTCGGTTAATCGAAGGCAAGGACCTAGCCTAGGATTCCAGGTTCCGGGATGCAGCCACCGCACAGACAAGATGTGCGAGTGCAAAAGCCGATGAAGAGCACAGACGACTTGCGTTGTAATACAGAAAATGCGCCGAACCGACATTGATAAAGACGCAGAGCGGTGATGGATGAGTAGAAACAAAAACACGCGGGAGGACATGGCTGAAACGGCGAATGCTCCCATGATGCCCCCATAGATGCAGAGCCTCTTCCACGAATGATATTGATCGAGGAAGAATGATAGAGATCAAGCGAGCGAGCTCGTCTTGTGGATGAGAATTCTTGACGTAGATCTTGCGTATGCGATTGAAGTAAGCTTGCATGTGCGGGGTCCATTTGTTCTCTGTTTCAATATAGGGAAACTAGATTGATCCTGAATTTTTGCACGAATGCTTTGCAGACTAGGGAGGATACGCATAGTGCCCGAATATGGTCAAAGTGGTTTGGCCGCGTCGCCGGCATGAGTGCATCGATGATCTGCGCAAAAATATCAAGTGGGAAAACAGGAAATAGGCCGGGGCCAATTTGAGCCTGCACGCTATGCAGACGGAGGGGGGTGAGTGCAAGCGGTTCAATTAACATAGGGGAGTACAATTACCTAGTCTAGTGGCTGCACTCACCGTGACGGTGAACAACGCTTACTGTCAGACGCGAGATCTCGATGTAGTTTTAGAGTGGTACTTCGGCAATATCAAGTGGAATACTGTGCATAGTATAATTTTGAATCGCAGTGGTAGCTATAGAGAGTATTTGAGGACTGTGGTCGTTGTCTGCTTCCTGTGGACGGGGGGATTTATACTTCAAAGACAAAATTTACCGCCTGGAACGAATCCGAGCACGCTTGTCAGCTACTTTGTTCGATAGCGACCTGCGAGTACTGTTTCTTGTTGAATGGTGTATCAACGAGGCCATCTTGATAGCGCCTGAACCTGAGAAGCTCATGAAAATCTCTCAAAATGTGGCATCGCCCAAGTTGTTTACCATAAGTACGTATGCAGGCGACATACTAGAAGCTCTATTGCTATACCTCCTCGTGCTGACCCGAGAGAGCGAGAACCGAACGGTCGGTGTGGCATCGTGGACACGAAAAACCAAGACGGACTTTGTTGCTAGTAATGTTCCTGACGTAGCTAGATGCGAGGAATTTTCTTACCCATAATATACTACTGGTTCGGTAATCAAACTTGAATATTTGTGTCGCAGTTCAAGTTGCCACGGCTGGCGTCTGCTTGGCGCTCACCGTGTCAGACGATCGGCCGATTAGACGCGCAGCCAGTCATTGGTTCGGCGGTTAGGGCCCCAGGGGCCAGGGGGAATATTAATTTCCATTTTCGGGGCTTAGGATATATCGACCGAGAGATCGCAACACAGCGGGCCAGAGAGTGACTGCTGCAGCACGAAGCATCGGTTGTTCTCACTTACCTCTTCACTCGCTATCTCCTCGTAGTCTGTGATCGATCCGTGATCCGCGAAAGGGAACCGGAACGGCGGGCTCCTTCAGCCACCAGAAGTTTTGCAGAAACTAGTACTGTATGCCCCGGGTATTCGGTAGAACAATTTGTTTGTCTCGCTCTGGGCATCTCGATCCCCTTCAAAATGACTCCTCCCCATTATAACAACCCCAGCAGTCATCCTACTCACCGAGCTCTTCCTGCTGGCCTTTCCCTCCATAGCTATCACCTCCAGTCATGGGCATCTTCTCCAACGGCAATGTGACAAATGGCATCCCCACCGCAAAGCCCAGCACCAGCCTCTGGGACCTCGATGTATGGCCACTGTTATTTTGCACATGAATCGACTCATGTTCTTGCAGGCGTCCCAAGTGAAGGTGACCTTGACCGACGCACCGAAGGTGATCCCACCCCTAGAGTCACTAAAGTTTGGCCAGGTACGCCCAAGCACTTTGTCCGGAACAGTCTCATCGACATCTCTCCTAAAGGTCATGACCGATCATATGATAGTGGCAACTTTCCATCCTCAGACCGGTTGGTCCATCCCAGAAATTAAGCCATACGGACCCATCTGCCTAGACCCCGCCAGCTCTTGCTTCCATTATAGCACTAGTGTCTTCGAGGGCATGAAGGTACAGCCAGAAATCTTTCGCGTCATTCCGAGCTCATGCAACAACATTCCTCCAGGCCTATATGGGTGCAGACGGAAAGACCAGATTGTTCAGGCCCGAGCTTAATATGGCGCGCATTAAACGATCCGTAGACCGCGTTGCTCTCCCAGTAAGACCATTTCTTCCAAACTTTTCACCACCCAACCATCTAGAAAAATTTTCAGGCATTCAACACTGGCGCACTCATCACCCTCATCAGACGGTTGGTCACCATCGAGGAGCGCTGGATACCCAAACTTTCGGGATACAGCCTCTACATCCGTCCCACTGTTATTGGGACACGACCAGGCAAGCTCGTCTTCCTTACTTGTACTTGAGTCCTCAATGTTCTCATCGTTACGTGCAAATGCAGCCCTTGGGGTCACAGCATCTGACCAAGCTATGCTCTACGTCATATGCTCACCCGCCGGCCCCTACTTCCGCTCGGGTATGCGCCCAACGTCTCTGCTCGCGGTCGGCGAGAATGTTCGCGCATGGCCCGGGGGTACTGGATGCTACAAGCTCTCCTTGAACTACGGGTCAACAATGAAGCCGCTCAAAGACGCAGAGAGGCAGGGATACAACCAAGTCCTGTGGCTGCTAGGCGAACAAGTGACGGAAGCAGGTGCAATGAACTTCTTCGTGGTAGTAAAACGAGATGACGACGGTATGCCACATGATCCTCCTGTCAAGCAACGCAGCTTCTCATTTCAACTCCACAGGCTGGGACGTCATCACACCAGCGTTGGATGGCACGATCCTCCCGGGTGTCACGCGCGACTCTTGCCTCGCCCTCATGGCAGCGCATCCCTCGCGCACAATATTACCCCAAATACCCGATGGAGTGTGCTTGCACCCGCAGGAGCGCACAATCACAATGAGTGACCTTGTGCAGTGGGACACAGAGGGTCGTCTGCTTGAAGCCTTCTCGGTGGGCACAGCAGCGATCGTCACAGCCGTAGGGCGCATAGGATACAATGGCAAGGACATTCGTATTCCTGACTATGAGGGTGGACCTGGACCTGTGGCGAAGGCACTATATGAGCGGATCCTAGAGATCCAAGACGGCCGGGTCAAGTGGGAAGGGTGGTCGACGATCTGCGCATGACGACGCCCGGACCATGATTAGGAAGTGGTGCTTGCAAATTATCTAGGCTCCAAGAGGTGCCTTTATCTAGCTCGTTCGATACACAGTGCATGTCTAGATTAGAAGTTACTATACAACGTGGTGTAATGGCACCCAACACTTTGATGCTGTTGGTACTATGAGACAGAGGCAAGGACTCGGGAAGGAAGTCATAAGCTAACATACCTCGTAGGGAAGGAACGATTAGCAAATGTAGCGAGTCCAAAAACGACAAAATTACGCGGACATCTTGCCCTCGGGCTGTAATTTGTCATTGCTGTCCTGTGCCTGTGCCGCCAGCGCCCTTCGTTCCATTTGTCTCGCGCCTTTCCCGGTTCTCCATCTCTCGTTCACCAGTTCCGCTAGGGTTGCGCGCGGCCTCTTGAGCAATGGTACATAATTTGCGCCCCGCCGAAACGTGCCTGCACCAAGCGGGACATTCAGCACGCTGCCCTTGGGGACCTGCTGCGTGTTCGGCGCGCCAACAGGGAAGTACTGTGGCGGGGGCGAATGGTGTACCGCGACGGCACTCAAAAAGTGCGCATCCAGCGCCGTATGAATCGCAGAGCGTTCGTACAGTCCCTGCATGCCGTGGTATAGATTTGTCGAGAGGTCCCGGTGGCTGAGTGCTGTGTCCAACGCTGCCACATCGGGGGACGCGTCTGCACGCCAGGAGACGGTGGCTGGGTCGTATCCGCACTCCCAAAGCATCAGCGGTAGCGGGTCCGCCATCTGGTACTCCGGCTTGCTGACTACGACGGCAGGCACAGATTCGCCCTCCTTGGCGGGGGGACGCGGGTTCTCTGGATCGACGTTGAGCAGTGAATCAATGATGCATGATTGTTCAAGCCGCGTCCCAACCAGGAACAGGATCGCCATGATGTGCCGCACTTGGTTGTAGAGGAACGCCGTGCCCCTCAGGTCGAAGACATAGATCTCGCCGTCCGGCTGGACTGGGTTGATTTGAGCAGAAAGAATCTTTCGCACAAATGAGGTAAGCTGTTTGGACGGGTCGAGCTTGCACAAGTTGCGGAAGTCGTGCTCTCCGACGAGGCGTGAGGCCGCATCCTGCATCGCAGCGAGGTCTAACCCGCGCGGACTGAAGAAGTACTTGTAGTGACGGTAGCGACATGAAAAGCGGGCGGAAAAGTCGGGTGCAACGGGGGACCAGGCGATGATGCGGATTGTAGGGGGGAGGACGTGGTTCAGCTGAGAGACGTACCGCAATTCCTCAATCTGCTTTGGCGGAGGGGGCAATGCCGCGTTCGTAGGCGGCTCGTCCCAATCATCCATGAGTGCAAAATCGCCCTCCAACCCCGTGTCGTCCTCCGAAGAGCGTGGTGGATGTTGCTGTACCTCGTTCGATAGGCTAGTCGTCTCTGGTCGTTCCACTTCTGAGCGATGAGATGTGCTCCCCGTCTCCCTCAAGGCACTTCTGATCCAGAGACTCACAACTTGGCCTGCACCACTGACACCCTTGTCTGTCCGACCGCACTTCTCCCACCCACATCCCTCAAAGCCCAGTGCCGGATCAATCAGTCTTGTATGCACAAGAGCATCATATAGGACACCCTCGACCGTCGGGGTACTGGTCGGCGTCTTCTGATACTCCAATCCGGAGTACTGTGAGCCATTGTAGCTGAATTTGAGAGCGATCTTACGGCGAGGATGTGCGGAGAAATCGAAGGCTTTCTGTTGCTGCCGCTGTGCTTGAGGCTTTTGAGGAGACGTTGGGGGATCTGAATCAAGTTGAGCTAACCGAGCTATGAGTTCTTCGCGTGTCCAGCTCTCGTATGCGACTGGAGACGGGGACATGACTCGCAGATATTTGCCGGAGCGTAAGAATCGATAGCTGAAGCCACCAGGCATATACCCACCAAAAATGATCGCCTTGCTTGTTAGCTGAGGGGTATATACGTTCACGAGTCCTTAGATGCAAGCAGAATTCCAGCCCAACAGCAAGTCAGACAGCAAGATGGGCTGGAATTGCATCGATTATCTGCCATTTTGGGGACAAGTTCATCATTCGAGTCCATCGCTTGATTCCCTTTCGCCGCGTCGACATCTCACTGCTCAGGCCCTCATTGAGCTCTCATTCATACCTCCTTCTCCTATATCACCACTGGCAAGATCTAAAGCTCCTCAACAAATATTCTTGATTATATACAACCTCTCGAGTTCATCCGTATCCTTTGTCTTGCTATTTTCGAAGTTACACAGTCAGACTCTAGCGTCCTCCTCGAATGACTCTTAGTTTGGCTGAAGGAGCTGCACGTTGGTCAATCCAGCGCGTAGAAATTCTTTCTAGCCCCTCGTGATGCGGCTCCGGACTTGCCGGCTCAAAGATGAAGCGTACGTTACATCTAGATTCCAGGTCGGCGGGGCGTAGCCACATGATGGTGAGTGGCCATGCAAGTTATCAATAGTACAGCAGCATGGCATACCGTTTGCGTGCAGAAGCATCAGGAACCGAAAGGTCCACGCATAGATTCACCGAGGGTCCCAATGGAGATGTAGCTTATCTCTGGCGATTCATTGCAAGCACATACTGCAAGATCTGCTGACCTATATATGCTCTGTTTATGGCACTCCTTCCAGCTCTCGACCTTGACGTGTGCGAACTTTTCGTTGCGTGCGCTAGCGCAGCCATCCATGTCTTCTATATAGAAGAACGTTCGTTGCAGGAGGCACCGAGAGGCAGGTATCTGTTTTCCACTTTAAATGCAGACCTTCTCGCATCCTCATGGGCCAATAGATTTACAGCTCCTAAAGATACGTCAACGAACGTGTCAAGCCATGCTTGTGATTCATAGCTCCATATTTCTGGCTAGATGCGCCGCGACTCGCATGCCATTGCCCCTCGAGCTTAGATAAATTTGGCGTCGGTAGTCGGTTCCGCTCAGAGCTCCCCCAAGATGCACTTCTCCCGCTCACTGCCCACCCGTTTTGCACTTCTTTGTATCTCCACCGTCTGCGGGAGGAACCTTATCCTCACCAATGACGATGGCTGGGCGGATGCGCAGATTCGTGCTCAGTATACAGAGTTGACGGAGGCAGGATACGATGTATGTCGTCAGCTGCCTTGCACGACACTCTTCATAGCGCTCACATACTGCATCTTTTCTCTCCAAGGTCGTCCTTTCTTGTCCCGCGGAAAACATGTCTGGGACCGGTTCTGATACTGCAACCCCGACGACGCTCGCCGAGGCCTGTGAGTACGATACGTGCCCCGTAGGCTCTCCTCCGGAAGGCTTCAATGCGAGCAATAGTAAGTTTACGCTTGGCTTGGCTAAGAATACATTTCTGATGACTATTTAGCTCACCTGAACTACGTCAATGCCTATCCGTATGCGTCTTTCTCTCATCCATTGTAGACACAATCTCACTCGTAAATTTTCAGTGTGGATGCAGTGCGCTACGGCATTCAGACCCTGGCACCAAAATTCTTCCACTCAAAACCAGACTTCGTGGTGAGCGGGCCAAACATTGGAAGTAAGCGCCTTCCCCATAGAATCTGGTGGCCGGTCGCTTACTCGTAAGCTAGATAACCTCGGGACTGTAGTTCTCATATCTGGCACAGTGTAAGTCCCGCAGTGTTGCGTGATTTGTATGGCTATCATGCTCATGCACACACGTGTAGTGGTGCTGCCTGCGAAGCGGCCAAAGAAGGCATTCCAGCCACGGCGTTCTCTGGTGGCACTGGTTCACAAGTTTCGTACACCACACTCGAGAGCGACCCCACCGCCTCATCGTCCGAGTCGTCCTGGGTCTACGCCGAGCTTACCACACACTACACCAACACTATACTGGAGTTTGATCTTCCGATCCTCCCTCTCCTCCCAGAAGGCGTCATCGTGAGCGTCAACTACCCAGATATCAACAGCTGCCCGTCCGCGAGCGACTATAAGTGGGTCTTCTCGCGCAACCTGGCGAGCTCGGAAGGAACGGATCTGTGGACGTGTGGGAGTTCGACGCTACCCGCGGAAAGTGACGTTGTCGCTGCAGACGGCTGCTATTCGAGCGTGTCAGTACTGAACGCGACGACCAAGACAGATGTCGACGCACTCACCCAGGCGGAGGTTTATGCTAGGCTGCTGACTCTTCCATTCACTTGCTTGCCTGGCTCATCGTGATTATTCGAGAATAGCGGCGCGTAAATCAATGAAGAATTTTTGTCACTGACCTAAAGAAACACATAAATGTATGTCAGATATCCAATTTGAACCATATCTGCTTGTACACGACCGTTGCGTGTGACGGTGCGCTGCTTCTGCTAGCACCACGCATCGCGCGCAGATGGACCATAATTGATCTTGTGAGCATAGAGCCTGATGACATGGCTTGGTCTATGTCTACATTCCATATAGATATATTTGATGAAGTGCGACTTACCAGAAGACTTGGCAGCCGAGCCTGTAGGCGAAGAGCTGAGCATCGGGACATGGATGCGTATGCGCCTCCATGTACAATTCTCGGATATTAACACTGCCTGTTAAGCTGTCTGAACCTCGTACAGTACCTGGTCAGTCAACAGCCTGAGGGTGCCACGTATTAATGCATTCTGATGATATCATTCCTCTCTCTCAGACTGCCGCATCCCATTTCGCCAGTCTGTTCTTCTGACCATGTAGTACACTGACATTGGAGGTGAACAACATCTTAGCAGGCATAGTTTGAAGTGTCAGCAAGCCGCATTGAAGGTGAGCTTAGCTACATATAACTGTGTAGGTCAGACCTGTTTTCGTTGAATCTCCCGCCCGCCAGAATGCCGACCCATTTACCCAACTAAGCAAGTGTGTGAGCGCTGTCAATATCTTTCTTGTTGTCTATATGTATAATCTCGACTTATTTTGCAGAATCAGTCTCCGTGGAAGACTCAGATATCACTATTAGATCTTCTGAGGGCATGTTATTGAAGGTGCATCAGAAAAACCTAGAAATGTGCTCCGAGGCCTTCTCCGGTGGGGTAGAGTTTTTAAGCAACGAGGTCGTCAATCTGACCAAGAATGCGTCCACATTGGAGCCGCTGTTCCAATTCATGCATCGTCAGAGGCCGCCAATGTACTGAAACTCCGCTTTGAAGAACTTGTGGAGCGGAGAAGTATGTCCTGTGCTCTGCGATGGAGGCTTACAGGCTATGCAGGACGTATGTGTGTCGATTTTGAAATCATGCCACTGATACACTTTTCTATCCCAGTTCTCATACTTTCACGAATCTATTAGGCATCATGCTGTGCGCTGAGCAGCACGGTTACTCAGACAAGCTCTCTACAATTATGCGTTGCTGTTTCCTCGTTGGGTCTGGGATTTCTGAGAATTGTACATCCAGGTCTAGCTTGGAAAGCACTGCTTCAAGGGTGTAGCGTACAAATTTTGCATACATGTTTCTAACGATCCTATGATACTCTACTCGAATGTGATAATTGTTCTATTCATACTTTTGCACGGCATGGCAACACAATTTTAGAATGTACTTAGTTCTGCAGAACACACAATAGAACTCTATGTATTGCTACTGGTATGCTACATGCACTATGAAGTCTTGGTTGAAGACTACCTGCACTATGTAAGGGGAGACTATGCAACTATACAACAGTTCCATGAAACCTACATGGAACTGTGTAGCATTATTCCTTTTTCCTGATGAGGTCCAGTTGCAGCCCAGTTTCTGTTTCTCACTGTGGGAAACAGTCCACCCAAAGGGCAGCTTCACGGCACAATATATCCTACTTCTGGGCACGGGGTCAAACACATGTGCACTAGACGGTACCTATAAACCTCCTAGGGAATTACGAGACCTATAAATTTGCTTTTGAGCATTCACCCAGAATCTCACCTAACTCCTCAAGCAGTGACGACTGGCTGATAAGATGGACATCACTTTTGGATCTGGAGTGAGTGTAGAGCAGGTATCTGAGCGGTGTCCGTATATCTATCATACTCCTCCCCTGAGTTAGTCCACTGACAATGCGGGTTCAAATTCAGTCTCATCGCCTGATGCTGACTTACGCGTGAAGTCTTCAGATGGTGTCCTTTTCAGGGTCCATCGTAAAAACTTGCACCTTTACTCCGAGGGATTTCCCGCCGACGACGAGTTAATTCAAGTTGTAGCCGAGGAGACAGTAAACCTATCCGAGTCTGCAGATGTCTTGGAGCTGTTGTTCCAGTACATGTATCGCCAGCCTCAGCCAAGCCTGACCCTCGTACATTTCAAGACTCTCGCCGGACTCGCAGAAGCTGCAGAAAAATATAGAGTTTATGCTGCTATGGAAATCTGCAGACTCAACATGAAGTACGTGCCCCCAACCTGCGAATAGGACTCACCAAATCGTCTGATATACCATATGCAAGATTTCATATTCACGATTACCCAATGGAGATCCTAGCATACGGTGCACGCCATGGGTATACTGAGTTGTGCGATGAAGCAGCGAGCAAAACCTTGAGGGAAAGCCTTGATCATGCAGCTCAAGTGCTCGAAGCGTCAACATTCATTCGTTGGGTAAGTTCAATGAGCCGAGAAGCTCCGGAGCTGTAGCATCTAATGAAGGAACATAAGTGTTCTATCGAGAATGCTGGCTGAAAGCAACTAGCAGTGCTTTAGATCCGCCTGTCGTGCTTCACAAGGGCGGGCTGTCGAGCTGCGGTGATTGGGGGCCATTTTATCAATGTGTTGTCTCTCGCCTCTCCGCTTGTAAGGTAAACGAGCCCGATATTTGCGCCGTCTTCACAGAGAATGAGGTTCTCATAGAAGATTGTCACCACTGTGTTATCCGGGCAGGAAGATGGCGCGCGGCCACTGTAGCCAAATTTGCCAGCTTGCCGGCGTTTAGCACAATGTGATTCACTTTTCGATGCGCCGGATTGTTTCGGGGTTGTATGCTGTTTGTTCAAGTGGCGTGTGTCCGATAAGCGCCGATGGTACTCCTGCACATATTGGTGCCCACCATATATTCTGTTCAACTATGCTCTCCCCATCTTCTTTCACCGTCCCTTTGTACTCAGAAATTCTAATCTGTCGTCCTCCGCTAATAGAGTCGTGCTATGAGGGGCCATGAATATTACTAGCTTGTTATCAAAATTGTGCAAATTGTTAAGCGAGGGCCAGAGCTACGTGACAATGCAACACAAAGACTGAACAGGGAGAGGTTTGAGAGTGGTGGTGGTGTGGCAATATTATTCACTAGAACATACGGGATTGTTTGTCCTTGAGGGCGATAATCCGCAAACGCGTAGCAGCCGCGGTCATAGTGACTGACAGCCATACCGCCCTGCTAATTATTAATTATTACTGTATATACCAAACGTGTCGAAGAGACACGTTTGGGTAAGAGACCAGCAGCGCAAGACGGCGCTTCCCCAAGTATAGTTTGGGCTATGTACTGTATGAGTTTGACTTGGAGCGCGGACATATGATGGCGCTCAGCGAATGTCAAACTAGTACGGTAAGATTGATTTCTCCTTTCATTCCTGCTGGGGTGATTTTTGCCGACTGGTCCCTAGGCAGTGTCATTCTACAATGGGTGTTGTGGATAGTTGCCTCGAAATGACTGGCATAGTCTCCCTTTGCCTGTGGTTTCATCGTCCGAGTGTGTTCGAAGGGACCTCGATGCCAGCAATTATATTGGGGTCAACCTTGTCGCCAAGACTATTTTCAAATACTGCAGTATTTGCCAAGGCACGGCTTAGCCTCCATTTCACCGGTCTGCGTTGGGTCTGCGCAGAAGAAATTGGCAACAATGCGTGTCTCGAGCGGAGCCCGGGCGGTACCATGTAGGATGATGATGCTCACTTCAAGTCCTAGTGCGTCCAAAATTGAACGCTTATCACGCCATGTAATGATGAAGGGAGTTACTTCCTTTGGAGGCCAGTACCATGACCAGCAGGCGGACAATTCAGCCCGACCCACGCTCATGGCCGTTTTGTTCTTGACTGACATTGTCTCTGTTGTACTTGCACAGGAGTTCGTGCAAGCTCCGGAAACCCCCCAGTCCGTACCCACCCGGGTGCGATGCGGCTATTGCGGAGCCATCCTGTGGTAGCACCAACGGCGACGAGTTGACCGTAACCTCAGTGCGGACGCTTGGTATATTTTGGGACGTTGCGGTCAAAGTACCCCATGACTAGCCCCATGGGCTGAGCCTTCCGCGCCCTGGTCGTCTCGCCCGCAAATATAGTCACCATCCGCCACTCCGGATCTCTCAATTTGGTCCACAGCCGCTGCACCGAGGCAATGTCATCCGCCCTCCAATCCAAGGACATGTAAATGCCGATGGGCTGCTGGACACATAAAAGGAGGCCCAAGCCTGCGTAAAACTCCATCCCTCAAGCTTAACCATCTCGAGGATCTAACATCTCTGTTCTATTACTCTCTATCACTCTCTCAAACTCTCCACACAATGAAGTTCATCGTTGCTCTCGCTGCCCTCACCGCTGTTCCCGCTGTCTTCGCCGCTGCTCCCGCTGTCACGGCGAACTCGTACAAGATCACGTACGACACCTTCTACGACACGGGTAGCAACTCCGTGAACAACTTTGCGTGTTCGGGCACTCTTGACAAAGAAGGTGAGGCATATTATTGTCGCTCATTTTGATTATGACTAACGATCGACCAGGCTATACCACTGCCAGCTCTCTCCCAGGTTTCCCGTTCATCGGAGGAGCGGGCGTTATCACCGGTTAGTGACTTATCTACGACTATGTTTGGTCGTTATACTAATCTTATATCGCAGGCTACGACGCTCCTGATTGCGGAACTTGCTGGCAATTAAACTATAACGACAACTCGATATACCTTCTTGCGGTCGATTATGCCGGCGAAGGCATCTTCAACATTGGGAAGACGGCATTCAATACCCTCACTAACAACAACACCAACGGTGTTGTAGAAGCAACTGCTTGGCAGGTTGCCACCTCTAAGTGCAGCGGTTCTAAGTGAAACCGTGAGTACAAGAATTGACGGGCACATTCATAAACTGACTGATCATTTTCCTAGTGAGGCTGTCATCCGTTTTGCGATCGGCATAGGAATAATTAGTTGACTAATGGACTATCGGAATTCCTAGTGAGGCTGTCATCCGTTTTGCGATCGGCATAGGAATAATTAGTTGACTAATGGACTATCGGAATAATGGACAATGTAATCTTGACTATCACAATCTTTGCATTATGTGCGAATAATGGAATTGTGTGTAGACTGCTATATTGTTTGTGCCTTTCGTCAACACAACATTATCATACTATCATTGTTACCCTTCCCTCGAGTATATAGTGTTTTTAAAGGCGAAATAACCGATTTATTTCTATCTCCTGATTTTGAAGCTCCGTCAAACCCTCATGGAGTGAAATGACATTTAGCGACCTTGGAGGTCCAGGCTTTTGTTCCATTACAAATCGACGCTTGCTTTCTATAGTGCTTCACAACTCTTACTGGCAAAATCATCTTCTACCATCATCCCATAAGTTGCTAAGATGAGGTTGGAAGTAATATAGTCATGCTCATCCTGCTTATAATATCAGTCACCGCCCCATTGTCTCTTGATTTCCTGCTTTCCACGAAAATACCAATGAAATACACTTGTTTGCTTACCACTGCACTCACCGTCGCACTCTCTACTATCGCGCGGGAGATCTACCAGGCGGAAGATCTACCAGGTTACATGTGACACGGTGTACGACAATCCATCTGCACCCGAGAGCGAACTGGCATGCTCTGACATCCTGGAGTCCCAAGGTACGTAATCTGTGTTTTGTCCGTTGCGAATCATGGCGCACATACACCGGGTCGCGCTTGTGCAGGATACACGGACTTGGATCGCTCCCGGCCTTTCCTCGCATTGGTGGCTTTGTCTTCATCTCAGATCAGAACTTGGAATCATGTTTCAGAGCTGTATAACTCACCTGAATTGCCGCTTATCAGGCTACAATGCCGGGTTATGTGGGAGCTGTTGGGAGTCGACTTACGGGGAGAACATCCTCTACTTGTTCGCCGTCGACTACACTGCGAAAGGGTTCAATATTGCACAGACCGCGTTTGAAGAGTTCATTGGGCAGTCTACAGGAATCGTCAATGCGACCGTATTGGAGAAGGATGAAGAGTTTTGCGGATATTATGGTGCTGAATAAACGCAACGCATCATGCGCAGGATGCCAGTAGGAATGGCAATACGTGCAAATTAAAAGTTGGTATGAACATTCAATGCAACATGCTTCCTCAATGCAACATGCAAGCTTACAGGGAAATCAGAAAATCTGGTTGGATCTTGACGGGAAATGCTCAAACGCGAGCCTGAACAATACAGTTCATTTTCAACGCGGTGTTCAAGAACCATGAGAGTACGTACGAAATCGACGGAATTCCCGCCGTTGTGGAGGGACGAATCATCGCTGAGCTACCTGGAAAGCTTGCCTAAGAAACGCTGAGCATGGTGAATAGTCTAGCAACTTGTGTTTCAGATTTTGTGATCAAGATGACCCTTGCTTTCAGACACAGCCTAACGTCTGTAAAACCGTCATTCTATTATAATTGGCGCTTTACAGAATCACGACAAGATACCAAGATTGAGACGGACATTCGAAAGATTTAGTTGAATGGACGAAGCTAGAGTGTAGACTCGAAGCATAGATGGAAGTCGGGACAGAAAGCCAGCATTTTTAGGATAGCGCGTAGCTACCCAAGCGCATCATGCGGGTCTCCATGTCGCTAGATGTTGAGACGAGTTTATAGACGGACATTGTGCGTATTTGGGTATATACGCCCTTTGACGATGTAATCGTGCATCGATAAGCGTACGTATACATACAAAAGCTGGCAATGAATCAAGTCATCAATAGAGCACAGAGGACTACGCGCACGAAAAAGAGCTGGTAGGAAGAGCCGTCGGAGAGTGGAGCAAGCTGCATTTGCGACGTACGCGGTCTGGCATCGCCCCAGGAGAGCGCCGCGGTAGAGCAATGATTGACCTTGACTAGTAGATAAATTCGGCCGACCGAGGAAAGCAACGATGAGACCCGACGGCGCATGCATCTTTTCGGTGTGTAGTCATCTGAGCGCACCCGTAAGGACTAGAGTGCGAGAACGTAGGCTAAGGGATCCCAGATGATAACGCGCTCACCAAGTCTATATATCCACACGATGCTGCGAGAGCGTGGGTACACACCTCTGCTTTACAGCTTCTTCCAATGGCCTAACATTGCACAGTAGGCAATGCTGGCATCAGCAGGTCGGAGTCACCGTGTCGCTGAAGGAATCACCTGGCGCACTTGGTCTGTCAGGACTCAGGATGACAAAAAATCGATGGCGGTCTGGATAACGGACGGGTCAAAAATAGGAGCGAACACAATACACATACGTTCGAGTTCAATAGCAATTGATGATTCCCGTACGCCCCTCCATCCCCGAATACAAACCCGCCCTTGTAAGCGTCCGCTGGTCTTGTACTATCTAGGTGTTCATCGCCGGTGCCATTGGTCCACCAATCAGCGGAAATACCAGAAAAGTTTGATCAAGAACAGCACCAATTTGAATTTCATGCCCCTCCCGTGCTTCGCTCGCCCCAAATCCTACTGCGGCCTGTCTTTTCAAAGGCCTTTGTCCAGCGGGTGGGTCATTTACAGCGCCGACGGTTACAGCGGTGATGACCGGCGAAAAATCCTTCCAACGTTTGTCACATGCCAGTAGTGTGCGGCACCTTGCACTTGTACACCCACAGCCACGCGGTATAACTGCCAATGTCGGTCTGGCTGGCGAGAATCGAGCTGATATGAGTTCCCTGCTGCCAGTGGGGCACGAACTAACAAGTCGCCAACGCGTGACTGATCGCGTCCAGTTTGTCTGACTCTCACAGGCTACTTGCAGCACTGTAACCCGTTGCGGCGACTACTCAAACCTCGCTAAGCCTTCTGATATTGTGTCTTGCGAATCAACACCAGCCTCGAGGCGGGGGAAGTCTTGAGTCGATGGAGGTGAGATACTCCTGCAGCTTGTACCATCGTCTAACCTACCAAAGCCCCTAGTAAACTTCCGAGTCAAATTGGCCATCCCAATTGCTTGAAGTTCAAGTCGACTTGGCCGCCGTTGCAGAGCGACCTAAGTAACGAGTGTTGCCAGGCTATGACGAGGATAATACGGGACATCTCTCAGGGATGAAGCTAGCGATTCACGAAATCAAGCCAAGACTAGCCACTTTAGGCCCCCTCTCCCATGCCCATCTTATATATACCTCGTCGTTCTCTGGATTTTCTTTCCTTGTATCGCCATCTAGACTACAGAAATGCTCCGTGTCTTTCTCAAAGTCCGGTTCATACTCTCTAGCGTCGCTATGTCTCTGGCGCAATCCCTCGTTCTAACCAACGACGATGGCTGGGCTGTTGCGAACATTCGTGCCCAATTTACTGCGTTGAATAATGCCGGCTTTGATGTGGGTAGTAACATTATTTCTCTACATGATCTTACAATACCTCACAGGTCGTGTTGTCGTCGCCCGCGGTCAACATGTCCGGTTCTGGCTCCTTGTCAATAGCCCCGATCCCTCTCTTAGTGCCATGTGAATTCAACACTTGTCCTGTTGGCTCGCCTGCGGAGGGCTATAATGCGACCGATCGTGAGTTGCACAGATGCCATTTGCACTTGAGGAACACGTATTGACACTGTGACCAGCTCGCCTGAACTACGTGAACGCGTTCCCGTACGTGACCAACGGCGTATCACTACCTCGATGTGACGAACTGAGCGTGTGTTAGTGTCGATGCTGCCAGTTATGGCATTCAAACCCTTGCGCCTAAGTTCTTCATTGATCCCGCCCCAGATTTTCTTGTCAGTGGGCCCAATATTGGAAGTCAGTGGGTATATTCTATGGTGATAGTGCACATGTTAAGTCTCAACTCTCAGACAACCTTGGAGTGGTTGTACAACTGTCCGGTACCGTGTACGTGAAATGTGTGTGGTATTTATATACTCACTGAATCTGAGGCCAATTTACAGAGGCGCCGCCTCCGAAGCTGCTAAACTGGGAATTCCTTCAGCTGCCTTTGCTGGCGCAAGCGGATCGCATGTCTCCTATACCACCCTCGAGAGCAGTCCAGACGCCTTATCCTCCCTCGCCGCCGCCCTCTACTCCACTCTGACTACGTACTTCGTTGAAACACTGATAAATGGCGGCCCCGACCCCATTCTACCGCCAACAATATTGCTCAACGTCAACTACCCATCCATTGACGACTGCCCCGAGCAGTCTGATTACAATTGGGTACTGTCGCGAAATCTATGGAACCCGCTAGCAACGGACGTGGAGACCTGTGGGAGTACGACGCTCCCGACGGAGTCAAGCGTTGTGGGTACCAGTGGATGCTACGCGAGTGTATCTGTCTTGAACGCGTTGACCAAGATGGACGTGAATTCGTCGGCGCAGGCAGCCGTCTTGACCAGGCTTAGTGCGCTTCCTTTGAGCTGTCTCCCTGATTAACATCTACGAGATGTGATAAGTACGGGATTCTCGATCGATCTTCATATAGTAGACCAGTGAATCAGCGATCACTGAATGATTTCCTGGTCATATTGTGTATAAAGTCTCCATTGTTTGACGTCGTAGTATATAAACTGCGGAACTTGGTATGTCATAGCTTCCAAATAGGAACTGCAAAGTGCTTAATATACGGGAAGTTCCGGGCAGCAACATAAGGCGATCATGACCGTAAGCTTAAATTACTTGACCAATGACTTTTATGTAAACATTTTTGCATCAAAGCATCCTCGGAACGTCTCTCAGACGACGTCTGTTAACCGAGCGCCGAAATTCTGAAAGCACAGGGTTCATTTCGAAGCTTAATTCATTCTCAAAGAACTGACTGCCACCCTACATCTTGTAGCATCCGTGGTGGTACAGTACGTAGTCACCAAACCTACACATGCACCCGGATTCCCTTACAAGGTACACCACGTTGTACGTGGATAGGAGGCTGTGGACCAGATGCACATCCCTTTAGGTAAAGTGGTTCATTTCCGAGGGGTCTCGGGAATAATCATGTTGAAGCAGGTGAGTTTCAGGATTTGATGGCTGTGATGGTGACAGTCTGACACGTCGCCGAACCGTACAATGCGTTTGGGAACAACCGTTATGAGTCATTCCCGGTGCGAGAAAGCAGACGAAGATAAGTACTACTTAAGGTACAATCTCGGCCGTGCGCGCCCTTCAAGTTTGCTGACCGTTGACCATCATACCAATGGACACGTCACTCATAACGTCAGTTTTGTGGTCCATCGCCGCAGTTATCACCTTCGTGATATGCAAAAAGATCATATCCATCTATCTTGCGCGTTCTACATCTGCTCTGCGTCATTTTCCAGGGCCCTCAAGCTCGAGTTGGTTGTATGGTAATCTCAAGGAACTTGAAGCTGTCAAGTCACACAGGAGGCTCTTCCAGCGATGGGAAGACAAGTATGGCAAGACCTTTCGATACAGGGCGTTTTTTGGCGGGAGTACTTTTCGTAAAGCTGACCATTGATTAGGATGTTAACCTAGATCGTCTATCTTTTAGTCTGACTTGTTATACATTGCGGATACGCGGGCTATCAGCTATATCATAAACCATGCCTATCATTATCCAAAACCCGCATTGTCTCGTTACACTCTTGAACAGATTGCCGGAGCAGGTAAGCACTCTAGTTCTTCCGTCGTCTAAGCGTGGTGTTCAGATTTCTTTTTAACGTTAAAGGTGTTTTGGTAGTCGAAGGTTACTGTTTCATGCCATTCCTTCTGTGCTGCTGTAAACTCATGCATTCCTATCATGGCCAAAGGCGAACAGCATCGACAACAGGTGAAGTCCCAGCCTTGCGTTCATGGAGCACATCCGGTATCATGCTGACCATGCGCTCAATGATCACTGATAGAGGCGAATTCTAGTGAGTTGTATCTCTGTTTTGACAATGAAACTGATAGTCTGATCAAGAATTTATCTATCTCAGAATCCGGCATTCGGTCCTGCTCAAATCAGGGAATTGACTAGCATCTACGTTGAAAAGGCTCACCAGGTCAGTAAATTACTTTTATTGCAGCACTATCTCTGTATACATTGCAAACCGGATGATGAATAGCTCCGCGATCTCTGGCGTGACGAAATATTAAAACGCGGGCTAGAATCAGCGCAGATCGACATTTTCGCCGGGTTGACCCAGGCGGCGTTAGACATGATCGGCTTAGCAGGTACGTTACGATAAGTAAATTGCTCTACAGAAGATAACGCTTAGCGTAGGGTTCCACCATGAATTCGGTGCATTGAGCTCACAGAACGGCGACGAGCTTATCGAAGCTGTTCACATCCTATCTCAGTTGGCGTCAAAGCTGACCGCAAATTTCCTACGTTTTGTCAAGTGCTATATTCCCTCTCTTCGTTTCATAGTGAGCTGTCCTGAATGATCCATTGACATGCCTGTTTGTTGTGCTCACACCCTTCAGCCAGACCCTATCGAAAGGCAAGCTAATGTTGCTCAGGGCATTATGCGACGCATAGGCACGCGGCTTGTGGCCGAGAGCAAGGCTACAATTGCGAACGCGCGAAAAGGGGAGAAAGGGGTTCGCCTGGATGGCCGCGATCTGTTAACGCTCCTGATAAAGGCTAATATGAGCTTGGCGGCGCACCAGCAACTCTGTGACGAGGATGTAATAGCTCGTGAGTGACCATTCCATCGTGGCGCCGACGAGTCTGCTTACTGGAATTCATGACAGAAATTGTTACGTGAGTATATGCAGAAAGCGACATGAAGTCATCTCTCACATATACATTCAGGTTCCTCGTTGCCGGACATGATACAACCGCCCATGCTGTTGCCTGGTCCTTGTATGCCCTTGCCTGCGCCCCGCAGGTACAGAGAAAGCTACGCGAAGAACTGCTTCATGTCCGCACCGAGAATCCATCCATGGACGAGCTGAATGAGCTCCCATATCTCGATGCATTTGTTAGAGAGGTGATGCGAGTGCACTCTCCTGTCCCGGTGGCACTCCGACAGGCGGACAAAGCCGATATGATACCGCTTGCCCACCCTGTAGTTGATGAACGTGGTCAGGTCCATGATGTAGTCAGGTTCGTGAGCCGTCCATGGGCTATTTCATTGCAATCCTGAACCAAAGAGTCTCACGATCCTCCAGAATCCAGGAGGGCCAGACTATAGTAATTCCCATCGCGAATATAAACACATCGAAGGATCTCTGGGGCGAGGACGCACTCGAATTCAAGTAAGATTTTCTTTGGGTTCTAGACTTACGCGTTCCTTACTCACCAACGCTCTCACCCAGACCCGAACGATGGCTCGAGAACATCCCTGAGACCATCCAGCAAGTTCCTGGTGCATGGGCTAATTTGATGACTTTTATGGGTGGACCGCGAGCGTGTATTGGGTTTCGTTTTGCTCTTGCCGAGTACGTGTCGTGTTTCACTCATGATCTGAAGTCTCACAAGCCTCTTCAGGACAAAAGCTTTGCTATTTTCGCTGGTGTCTGCCTTCGAATTTGAGCCATCGACGTCGCATGATGCAATCTTCTCAGTATCTTCGATCCTTGAGCGCCCATATGTCCAAGGCGAGGAAGAGAAGGGACCTCAGTTGCCGTTGCTACTTAAGCCTTATCAGCGATCGTAGACCTCCCATTTGGATAATTTGTCTACTGTATCTAATATTGGACGTTGTAGATAACTGTGCTGTGTATTTAGACACCAATAACATTATCCTCACGATTGTGCGTGTAGTCGTGGCCGGGAGAGGCTTGAGTCTGCCCCCGCGAACGGTCTCGGGAGGTGCCGGTGCCATCAATAGCGGACGTTAAGTTCCGAAATCGGCAAGAGCAGCTCTTAACCGACTCGTTCTCCAGGCTCCTGCCCATCCAATCTCCGGGAGGAGAGGGACTTCATCCCACCAGCGGGTTCTTTCAGCCACATCTCTTCAGCCACATATCACGTGAACACGTGATGGTTTCAAACTCCACAATCTTATTTCCCTCGTCCTCCCTACGACGGCTGGCAGAGAACATCTGCAAATAACGGAACCCGGAGGGGGAATGTCCTCCGTAAGGAAGCATGAAACGGCGAAAAATATAAATGTATATATTTCTATGTAATTCTTTAATTGATTGCGCGGGTCGATCAATTCGAGAGCCATTTGAAGGCGCATATAGAGAACAAATTGTCGCCACTTGTCTCATTAGAATGAGCTCAAATTCGCTGCCTACCATCGACGACATCCACAAGAAAACTGTTCGCGAAACTGGCCGTGACCCATATCGTTGGTAAGCCCGCGTTGCTCAAGAGCTGTTAAAAGGTCAGAAGGGCATCATTTGCGTTGGACCCACAGGGGCTGGGAAAACTCTCACCTTTTGGATGCCACTCCTATTCCAAGAAGACGGAATACAGATTGTGGTGATGCCTCTTGGGCACTCAGAATGAAAGGGAGCTTGCTGCGCTTGGTGTCAGCGCTGTTCAGGATCTTATTATTATCGAACGAGCCTAGTAATCTCTGAGCGCCCGTCATATTCGCGACTACCTAAAGTAGGTGTGGCAGTTCCGGATTCCGTTATTTGCAGATGTTTTCTGCCAGCCATCGTAGGGAGGACGAGAGAAATAAGATTGTGGAGTTTGAAACAGTCACGTGTTCACGTGATATGTGGCTGAAGGGATGTGGCTGAAAGAATCTGCTGGTGGGATGAAGTCCCTCTCCTCCCGGAGATCGGATGGGCAGGAGCCTGCTCGTTCTCCGTCGTTCACCTTTGGTTTCATTAGTTTGCACTGCAGAATTAATGATATGTCTTTAAATGATTTTAAGAGGCTCCACCAAGAAGTGGTTATTCACGAAGCACGTTGAGCTTGTTTTCCAGAAGTTTCGAGAGAGTGCACTGACCAGTACTCCCCAGTGCTCCTTGGCCGAAGTATTGACGTCGCTGTACATAAGCTTGTGATATGTGTCTGCGAAATTCACCGAAATGTAGAGAATATCGCAGACGGTGCATCCACCTTCACGAATGCTACAATGTCCTTCCTCTTGATGCAGCCGTCCACATATAAAGCGGGTCCTCTTTGGCACCCTCCCCAACAGAACACACTCAGCTCAGATACACTCGGTGATATCGTCCTCGTTACTAACGCATCCTCACTCTCTGCGTTCAATATGTCGCCTTCGAATTTCTACCAGCCTTTCTACTCCCTCGCCGACTTTAACCGTATGTTTGACGAGGCATTCTCAGCCCGGACGTCCGGAGTAAACAACACCGACGGGCGGGTGCAGCGTTCAGACAACTCCGCGAGATTTCTCCAACCAAGGTATGTAAGCTATTGGTGCTCTTTATCACTTGATCGCCAACGCATATTCAGGATGAATTTACATGAAAACAAAGAGGAGAATGTCGTTACGGCTACATTTGAGATGCCGGGCTTAAACAAAGAGAATGTGCAGATTAGCGTCCACAATGGCATCCTAACAGTTTCTGGAGAATCAAAAGTCTCGACCGCTCGTGACGAGCACGGCTATGCGGTGCGCGAGCGACGGCACGGCAAGTTTTCCCGCGCGGTCCCCTTGCCTCAGGGCATCAACGTGAGTACGCGCCATCTTGATGGAACGATGCCGAATGTCTGACTCCTGGCAGAGCGATGATATCAGGGCGTCGATGGAGAACGGGGTGCTGACTGTAACGTTCCCCAAGACGACGCCGGAAACGGCGCCGAAGAAGATTGCTATTGCTTGAGGAAAGGGATGATTTGATTCGTGTTTTGTTCGTGGGTAGCGTGTATACTGTAGTGGACCGGAGTGTAGCATCGTGCATATCCTTGAGGAATGGGTGTCCATAGTGATTGCTAGTTCTCAATCAAGTTTCTGCTATTTATCTTGAACCAGTATCATGGTGGCAGCTTGGATCCGGCGTTGGTAAGCAGTCGAAGCAAATGTATAGACGGCGTGGGGGGTGGGCTCGAAATCCGAGAAAGTCGGATTGACTTTGCCGATGGACCAACGTCAGAGCACCGGCTCTGCTTTCCGACTTTCTCGGGGCGCCGCAGTGTGGGAAAGGTAACTGCCGTTTATGGCTGCTACCACGTACTCTCGGCCCCCCGCG